TTCATAAACAAATATCTGCTAAACCATCCAATCATGTGTCTTTCAATCTACACAATTCTCAAGGTGAGTTTTTCGTTTGTTTTTTTTGAACAACTACTATGTTATATTCGTGTTTTTTTTTTGCATATTCCTGTTAACCAGTTTGAGGAGAATGAATCTTTTTGGTCAACTACTAACCGTCAATAAACATGCTAAAAATATCTTTAAATTACACTTTCATAATTTGTAAAATTGGTATTCATTTTTGAAACCATGAATCGATCAATGTTAGACCACCGTTAGAAACCTGGAAGCACTGGACGGCCGTTTCGTCCTGGTATGGGACTCCTCAGCAGTGCGCATCCACGACTCCTGCACCCCGCAGGATTCGAACCCAGGACCTTCGGTATTGTGCGCGAACGCCCTAACCGATAGACCACTGAGCCGGTATCTAACGGTGTTAATGTCTAACTTGATCATATTCACGGAGTTGCGCAACCTCATACACAGTCTTCGGTAGTTACTGTCTACACCCGAACAGGTTGAACTTCACTGGTCACGTCTTCCCACTAGAACTCGGAGAAGATTCCTCACGAAGCTAGTCACTAGTGAGCACAGGTAATTTGCATTACGGGGTTGTGAAGATTGTTAAGTTACACATTTTTGAAACCATGAATCGATCAATGTTAGACCACCGTTAGAAACCTGGAAGCACCGTGAATATGATCAAGTTAGACATTAACACCGTTAGATACCGGCTCAGTGGTCTATCGGTTAGGGCGTTCGCGCACAATACCGAAGGTCCTGGGTTCGAATCCTGCGGGGTGCAGGAGTCGTGGATGCGCACTGCTGAGGAGTCCCATACCAGGACGAAACGGCCGTCCAGTGCTTCCAGGTTTCTAACGGTGGTCTAACATTGATCGATTCATGGTTTCAAAAATGTGTAACTTAACAATCTTCACAACCCCGTAATGCAAAATTGGTATTGTCTTCTAACTTCACATATGAGTAATATGTTGAGTTTAAGCGCAGCATTTTCAATGTTTGACAAGTTAGTCATATTTAGGACCGATGGGTAATTTTTCTCATTATTTGGTGAGTTGGTAACGAATGTTAAAGTGTGGTTTTTATTTTGAGAGATTGGAGTTATTCACAACTAGTTACTATGAACTTGCCTCGTGTCGTGCAGTTGGATATGAAGGACAAAAACACAGGTACATTAGGTGTTAGAGCTTAAAATCAAAGCTTGGATGGAAAATATACTGCATAACTCAACATCTGTTAATTGTATGATTGAGAAATGACGGAAAGTGGTGAAGATGACTCACTTAGCGAGAATTAAAAAACAATTTGAATAACCTCTGTTGTGTATCATTAAAAAATATACTAAAATGAACAGTTCACTTTGACCTTCAACCAAATAATCTCTGGATAGTCCACAGTACTGAAAAGTTTATTTCTAAATTTGATGGTTTTTGTTTTAAGTGCAACTAGAAAATTCCTGATAGTATATGTATGCAGACAAAAGTGCATCATTTATTCTCACATTTGTTCTTTATTCTGAAGTGATATGCGTGTATTACTGTTTACAGTCTTATAAATTAGAAAGATATTCTAAAAATTCCACTATATTAGGTTACAAGGTTCTGGTATCCTCTGAACTTAGAATATTTTGATGCATTTAAACACTGGTGTTAACTGAATAAACAATGAAATGTATATAAGCTTTGCATTAATATAAACATTTATTTTTGAATATTTATTTTCAAAATCAAGACGATTTAAAATTCTGAGTTAGACTTATCAGCTTTTTATCATAGGTACATTTATGATATTTTTATTTTATATTATCGGAATGACAAAGCTAGAGATTTGGAGACAGCTTTCAATACAGTTCATCCAAAGATTAGTTATATTAGCTAGATCGACTTCGAACATAGAGGAAACTAACAGGAAACAGTTTATGATAATCTACATCTGATTGGGTACATTTTTCTTACGTTTTTTATGCAATACACTTAACAACTGGTAATGCGCATACCTTGCCACTTTCTCTTTCATATAACTATATTCTCAATGTTCACTTTTTCTCATTATCATTGTTACCTCATTATTTTGATCGGTTTTAAAATTCCTCTTCCTATATTCACTTGATTTTGTTAATACGATGTGCTAACTTGTAAAGACGCATGCTTATGACAGGTACTACGTTGATACTGACTGAATGAATCAAAAGCCCTAATTCTAGCACATCAAGGAAAGTGACTTGAATTGAGAGATGAAACTGCTTATCACGATCCATGGAAAGGCATCTATGTTTTTGCAAGCCTTTTATTTGTGAACAATAAACCGATAAATTTCAAAATGCATAGTCCCTTTTCATGCTTTGAAAAAAACAAAAATTAATATCTTTTCCTGAAAATTGTTGGTGTTCGCAGTCTATTCATCAGTTACTAGACCCCATACTTAGAATAATATACCGGAATAAAATTTGTAATTTGCCATGTACTGGTAGCGATTGTTACGAATCCAAAGAAAGGTGCTCTTTTCCTGATTGTGTACATGTGATGGAACCGTTAGTTAGAAGAGTAGTTATATTATCTGATCTCTTATCAACTAATATGTCATCATACCTTAAGTCTAGGAACTTCTGTCTAGGTAGTGAGCTAGTGACTTTTTTTTACCAATAACCCAATGATCCAGATTAATGATTGGAGACTTTGAATGCCTGTTGGTTCACGAGCCACTTCTAACCTGTTGACGGATCAGACGAGGAACTATTCAAGGTGCTCCATATTACCATCCTCATAACTCAAACGTTCATGAGATTTCATACAATAATTATTTCACTACACCGCTACGCGAGTAAGAAATTACAGTTTGCACAAGACTACACTGTAAATTAAACAAAACAGAGTAGTAAATACGTTATTTATTCATTATTACTTAGAGAAAGCAAAACTTATAACCACAATTTAAAAATTATCCTGAAATTTAAAATGTAGTGAATCAGTAAATGCAGTGATCCATGTATGTAGTTATTGTACAATAAAAATAAACACTTTAATTCCCATAGGATAATTCAGAAAGTTTAATTCTCAAATTTACTCCAATATAAATGTAAGGAAGAAAGATTGTATCTCATTGTAGTATAAAAAATCAATAAAAATATCAAAATATCTTCTACTTCTTATCGAACACACACTCTACTGAACAGCTAATCCGTTCAGCTTCAGGAGCACAATTTGTCAATGTTATACATGGTCAATCTGATTTATTTTGGTCAGCAATGAGGACAACACAGCTGTTCATAATTAATCTTACTCTTATGATCATTTGAAATGAACATAGATATGAAAGTTTTTATTAGGATGACATGTTAGCTGAATAACTGCTAACTAATAAAGGTCTGTATAATTTGGTATGATAACACTGTTTACGTTGTTTGGATATGTAAAACATTTCTCATCTCTTTCTCACCGTGATCAGTTTATTACTACTAACCAATTTTGTAATATATGTAAACAGATAACGTCCCCCAATAAATGTCAACACGTGTACAACTTCCTCTATACAATTTTCAATCATTTCTATACGTGTTCAACTTCTACTTTTGGAAATGAACAAACGACTAATTTCAAATAGATTATTTACAAAGCATCTTGTGATATGTTGTAGAAAGATAATATTATTGTTATGATTATAGTTCCTTTCTAACATGTCATAACAACTGCAAATCATGCTGTTCCAAAAGAACACAATAACTATTGTATTCTATATATATATATATAATTATTTGTTGATAAACAACATATCCAGCTGAGTGGATAAAAATTTGGTCATTGTTATCTAGCTGTACAACTTTCTAAAATAAGCACGATTGCCGTATTCTTTTAAAACTTATATTTAAAAAAAAAATCTTTTTCAAAGCTTAATAAATAAAAAGGAATCCATAGGTTTCAGTTAAACATTGATCTGCATTTTTTTTTACCAGAATTAAACGAAGCCAAGATCATTCGTAGAAAAATAGTGAGTTTGTAAAGGTTAATCAGTTTGATTTCCGAATTCCAAACTCCTAACTGACACTGATTAAAAAACAAATAAAAACCTAAACACATGTTCTACCTTCGCATTAAACTACCCTGTGAAAAACTTTAGTTCTTCATCTATACTGTTTCTCTATTTGATGAATATTATTATTCTTTCGTTTCTTTTGTCGACTTCTTCCTTGGTGGTCGTTCTCCTTCGTAAGTACTTCATGGTGAAAAGTGAGTAGTTTTTGCAACTCTATTCGTGATAAAGGATGAATTTAAGCTTAATTTCTACCTTCGGTTCAGAGATTAACGTATTTAAATATGTACGAGTGATAAGACAGTTCCATTGAAATCATGATTTTATTAATGTTAGACCATCATTAGAAACTTGGTAATTTTTACATGATTTCATTGAAACTCAATAATCTATACAACTCTGTGGTGAAAACTATAATGTGCTCACATGTGATTAGGTTCTTGAGGAATATATAGTGAGAAGCCGTGACCACTGGAGTACAACCACGTCATGTATGAAGTCGAGTAACATTGTCGACTGATTGAAGTTAGACATTAACACCGTTGGATACTGGCTCAGTGATCTAGATGTTATTCATTCCCGCGCGAGACCGAAGGTCCTGAGTTCGATCTTGACGAGCGGAAGTTGTGGATGCTCACTACTGATGAGTTCCATACGAGGACCAAACTACCATCCAGTGTTTCCAAATTTCTAATCGTGATCTTACAATCATTGGTTGATGATTTCAATGAACCTGAACAATCTCCACAACCTTACTACCTTATCCGTGATTGAGTTGATGATCCAATTTGATATGAAATATGGTCGATCTAGTGAGTATACAACACTGAAGTGACACTTTAAAAAGTGTTAAGATTTCAATGGATAATTTTTTGAAAATTTCAGATCACTGGACTTTTTAAAAAAAACTCTTTTCCAAAACAAAAAAACATTTACATTTTGTGCACCTGTTAAAACTATTCTTGATTAGCATAATTTGCCAAATTGAATCATTTATAATTTAATTGGAACAG